GTACTGCAATGCATATTAAAGAGAATATTTTACAATGCGTTGCTATAATTCTCGAGTGGGAATTTTAAAGCACGTAAAACAAAGCTGCTATCTCCGCTTGGCATGAGGAGTTCAACTGAGGCGTACGGAGCGCTTTTGTTATAAAGCAGAATGTGAAATCACCTTGTTTCTTTTGTTGCGGCAGTAAATGCAATGTGCGTTGTAAACAAAAGTGTACTTAACACAGTCTGTTATTGCAGTGTGGAAAGTCTGCATGGAAAGGGGTCAGGTTTTATGTAAACAAACCACACAAAGACGACTGAGCAAGTCCTTGTGAAATGTAGAATGCCGGGCTTTGCTCATAAAGTGCCTGGCACCGCAGAGACCCGTGAGATAGCAAAGCTGTGTGCGGTGACTGCTCCTTACCAGCATGTCATAGCGGTGGATGGTGGGGGCGGGAACATGCTCAACGCTCCTCCCATTGGCTCCAAGGGTCCTGCTCAGATTTTCACTTTACTTATTCCAAGTTCCACTTTGCAGGTCTTTTTCACCATATTTATAAAGGTCCTGTCTGTAAGGCTATGTCTTACAAACGGTGCTATCTGTGGAATGGCTCACACCACTAAATGGGTGTCCATGGTTAGAGGCACCTCACCCCCAAGAAATAGAGCATGCAGTACACAAGAAAAAGACACACTGGGGTTTTAATGGTGGCCCAACCAAAGCATAACTATACAGATATAAAAATCAACATTTTATTTCCGCATTATGTAAGTTAAAAACATAAAACACTTAAAAACATGGTGTGTTCCATCATTGTCCTTGATAGTGTGCGCACAGTATAAACCAATTACTAAATGCACAACAAAGTTGATCGTCTTTTAACAGTCTGGTTCCATTCCAAGAATAGTCTTAAAATATTTGGAGGTGTTGGTGTTTATATCACAGTGGTGTAGTGGTTAGCACTTCCACTTTGCAGCTTTGAGGATCCCTGGTTCAAATCCCAGTCAAGACACTATCTGCATGGAGTTTGCATGTTCCTTGGGCTGGTATGTGTTTCCTCCAGGTACTCTGGTTTCCTCCCACATTCCAAACACATGCTTGAAGGTAATTGGCTCCTGTCTGAATTGGCCCTCATATGTATGCATGTGCAGTAGAAACATTAGATTGTAAGCTCCTTGAGGACAGGGCCTGATGTAACGGCGCTATATAAATACTTGTAATAAATAAATACATTTCCGTTTAGTTATCCTTTAGTTGGGCCACAGGTAAAACCCCAGTTTTCTTTTTCTTGTGTATTGTAGGCTTACAAAAAGTATAAACTTACTTGCCTGGGCCTGCTAATAGATATAGTGGAAGCACCAGGAATTGTATTGGGGGGGTTTCTGACCTCCAGTACCAGGAAGCAGAGAAACTACAAGAGACTCTGGGTAACTCTGAGATGAGACCTTCTGCAGCAATAGCAGCTATGTGCTGACAGCCTGTGCTCGCCGCCATCTGCCTGTAGTGACATAGGGGTTGGCGAATGGAACCACAGTGTGTGGCGGGGAAGCAGGCATCCCACTCTTCTAGAAATGTGTTGGATATGAAGATCCTGCCAGAGGCTGTAGAACAAAGGTCTGAGGAAGAAGGCTGTAGAGCAAGGTCTGAGGAAGGCTGTAGAGCAAGTTCTGAGGAAGGCTGTAGAGCAAAGGTCTAAGGAAAGGCTGTAGAGGAAAAGTCTGAGGAAGGCTGTAGAGCAAAGGTCTGGGAAGGCTGTAGAGCAAAGGTCTGAGAAAGGCTGTCAAACAAAGGTCTGAGGAAGGCTGTAGAGAAAAGGTCTGAGGAAGAAGGCTGTAGAGCAAAGTCTGAGGAAGGCTGTAGAGCAAGGTCTGAGGAAAGGCTGTAGAGGAAAAGTCAGAGGAAGGCTGTAGAGCAAAGGTCTGAGGAAAGGCTGTAGAGCAAAGGTCTGAGGAAGGCTGTAGAGCAAAGGTCTGGGAAAGGCTGTCAAACAAAGGCCTGAGGAAGGCTGTAGAGCAACGGTCTGAGGAAGGCTGTAGAGCAAAGGCCTGAGGAAGGCTGTAGAGCAAAGGCCTGAGGAAGGCTGTAGAGCAAAGGCCTGAGGAAGGCTGTAGAGCAAAGGTCTGAGGAAGGTTGTAGAGAAAAGGTCTGAGGAAGGCTGTAGAGCAAAGGTCTCGGAAAGGCTGTCAAACAAAGGCCTGAAGAAGGCTGTAGAACAAAGGTCTGAGGAACGGGCAATGGGATAGTTGAGTATTAATAGTCTTCTATATCATTGTGATTTTAGGATTATGTTTTTGTTGTAGGACGGAGTTGCTTTAAGGGCTTGTGTAGATGGGAAATTAATTCAGCTCGCATTTCAGATAGTTTGAGTTATTGGTGACATCCTTCTAAATAGTTTCAGGCTGTTTTTACTTTCCTATTGACTTTTATGGGATGTAAATCAGTTCTAATGCGAACAAACATCCATGAGCACAGGCCCTAACAACCCATGTGCTTTCATTGATAATGTTGGTGGGATTTAACATTAACCTTGTTGTATTCTAAAACCTTACTGTTAAAAAAAATATAAGAGAAGTGTCTCCCTTTGCTGCCAGTCTTCATTTCAGCATATTGTGTGCTGCAAAATAACGTAAATCAAGCTTGGAAAAACTGTGGTCCTTTAGGAACTGTTAACCCCCCATATTGATACCATGAAACTGCAGTAAACTCATTAGTCAATTTGTGATGGAGAAAATGGTGTTCAGCTTTACTTATTTCTTTCTCTTCTTCAGTCGGAGATGTTACTTCAGCACCAGTCCAACCCCTGCATCATGGATATTTCTGGAAAGACCCCTCTGGACTTGGCCTGCGAGTTTGGAAGAGTGGGAGTAAGTTTTGTTTATGCTTGGGTGCTGGATACATTATGAGGGCTCATGTAAGTTTACACACTCATGCTCTAAAGCAAGGTAGCCAGGGAAGTCCAGATGTGGTGAAACTGCAAATCCCATCATGCATCTGCCTCAGGAAGTAATGCCTATGGCTGCCAGGGTCTTGCAGTAACTTATGGGATTTGTAGTTTCACCACAGCTGGAGGGCCAAAGTTTGCCTACCCCTGGTCTAAAGGATATTTTTATTATCAGAGCACAAGGCTCTGTACAACCTCTCTCCTTCCCTTGCAAAATATTAAATGCAATGGCATATCTGTGCACTTGGAAATATGCAACCATGTAGAGGCAGCTACTATGCTTGTGTGGCCCCCAGAGGATACAATGGAGTTCCTATATCCTTACCTGACGGGCTTTTATGGTAGTGAGGTGTGTATACAAGGCAGCTAGTTTTTCAGGATGGAGAAGGGTACATCATCTAAGCAATGCTACATTGGAGGTATGAAGTGGAATTTAATATTTGCCAATGCGTGACAAGGAGCTTTATGCTTTAAAATGATTGTTATCCTTTAAAGGAGAACTATGGGGTTCTATCTTTTTTTTATGAATGCATTCCTTAGGCTAAATAAGTAAATAATGTAATTTACTCTAATTAGCCAAAATGCACAGTAAGGGCTTATTTTAGGTGGTGGGCAGGGCTAAGCACCGCAATGAGAAGACATCCCAACGTATCTGACGGGACCCTCCCCACTGATGACTGACAGTGATTCTTGAGAGCTGCTGCGCGTCCACGAATATATGGACATGCGCAGCAGCTCTCTCCTTACCTGCACGTAATCACTGTCAGTCATCAGTGGGGAGGATCCCGTCAGATACGTCGGGATGTCTTCTCATTGCGGCGCTTAGCCCCGCCCACCACCTAAAATAAGGTTTTACAGCCTTACTGTGCATTTTGGCTAATTAGAGTAAATTACATTATTTACTTATTTAGCCTAAGGAATGCATTCATAAAAAAAAGATAGAACCCCATAGTTCTCCTTTAAGTTGGAGATTACCCATAGCAGCCAAACCCAAGCTCCCCTTTTCCCAATGTGCATTCATATGGACAGTACCAGAGTTTCAATGCAGTTTTATAATCAGCTCTTTCTCTCTTGGGACATAGGATTCTGCCATACTTCATAGTAGTAGGGGGCGAAGCAGGGGCGTAACTAGAAATCAAAGGGCCCCATAGCAAAATTTTGTATGGGGCCCCGTGATTGCTAGTTATGCCCCTTGCAGAGCCCACCGGAGAGTGACCCTGAGGAGCCCACCATAGACTCTCTAGAGTGGGCTCTGCAGGGTCTGAGATCTCTTACGTGTCAGCGCTGTCCGCCTCTGTGGTCGCCGGGCCCCGACTCCTGTTCCGGGCCCCTCCTCCTCTGCTATCGACGGGCCCCGCCTCCTCTAACATCACTGGCCCCACCTGCTCTTTGGTCGCTGGCCAGTGATGTAAGAAGAGGTGGGGTTGCCCTTAGGCAGGCCCCGCCTCCACTTTGTTTCCATGTTTTTCAGTGACAGCCAGCACCCTTACATGCCATAGCGACCCAGGGGGCCCTGGCCGTGCCCCCCTGTGCCCGGGCCCCATAGCGGCTGCCTGGGTCGCTATGGCGATTGTTACGACAGTGGGGCGAAGGCGGAAGGGAAATACCTGGTGATTTATTTTATTGTTTATCCGATTAATCGAACTTAATAATCGGCTAACTAATCGATTTTGAAAATAATCGTTAGCTGCAGCTCTACAGAATACAGATGTTCATTGCTCTGTGCAGGAATCAGCACTCTTTTCTTTGCAGGTTGTTCAGCTGTTGTTAAACAGTAACATGTGTTCAGCATTACTGGAACCAAAGCCTGGAGACAGTACAGACCCCAATGGGACCAGCCCTCTGCACCTCGCAGCTAAGAATGGCCACATTGATATCATTAGGTGAGTGTTGATGTGTTTATGTCAGATACCTGGGAATATGCGCAATACGCTTATTGATTATCATCACTCTGGGAACTGACTCTAATAAAGTATAACTAAGAGCTTTTTTTTTAGTTTTGGATAGAGTGGTGAGAAGTTAGAACCTCTCTAATGTTTTCATTGCTGTCCCGTTAGGGAGCTTTACTCTGATTCACGCTGGAAGTGAGGAGATTAAGAGGGGACATGATTTTAATGTACACAATGTTTGGTGGTGATGGCAACATCAGCAGTAAACTTTTTACAGTAAACTCCGTAACAAGGACTACAGGCCATCACCTAAAAATGGTGGAGAAAAGATTTATCCACAAAGTGCATAGAGGCTTCTTCTCCGTCAGAGTGGTTACATTTGGGAACTTTCTGCCACAAGCAGGGGTATCAGCAGGGGCGTATCTGCCGCGTTCGCCAGGGCAGCAGCAAAGGTAAATACACCGCTGGGTATCAGCAGAGAGTATTGAATCATTCAAAAATCAATTGGATACCTTCCTCAGAGACCGCAACATACGGGTATGGGTACTCTTATAACTTAGGACCACACAGGGACTCACATACGCGCACATACACACATAAGGTTCAAATCGATGGATCTGTGTCTTTATTCAGCCTCAATACTATGTAACTATGTAATTGTCTTAATCCCTATGAATGAAAGTGAGGGTAAGTCTAAAAGTTTGAGTTGCCATCAGAACATGAATAGAGAGGAATTATTCCAATGGGGACATTTGTTCCTGTGGAAAGGGTCTAAAAGGGCATTTCCCTGACATTGGAAGGATATCCTCTCACTCCCTGTTGAGTCTAAAGGACAGGAAATGATGGGAAATCTACCTAAGGAGAAACAGATAACAGAAAAACCCTTGACAGAGGTTTTCACCCACCCATGCATCATCTAAAATGAAAATGTTTTGGCTGTAGATACACTTTAATAGAAAAACAAATCATTTTCTATAGTTGTTAAAGACATTGTTTAGGTATCAGAGCCAGAGTATCGCTCACCCTTAAATAGAGAGACAGCCTGTGACGGACCCCCGTACTCAGGATGAGTATGTCCACCGCTGTCTTCTTCCTTGCTGAGGAGATATTGGAACCTGAAGATCCTTAGCTCCCAGTTTCCCCAGTCACTAGCCAAGGCTTGAGTGTAGGGTAAACAAACTCTGATTTATTGAGCAACTGCACAAACTTATATACAGCAAGTGATGAAATCAGAATATAATCCCATCACATCTAACGTGCTAACGAACTCCAGTGACAGCCATAGCATAGTCTTTCCATAACCAGGTCACACAGCATAACGCACTCAAACATAACCCAACACCAATACACATTTAACTCATAAACTGATCACCATGTCGTCACACAGCCTGTCTGCCTTTTTGGCCTTTAGTACTAGACCGGAAACTTTTAATACACATTCTACCCTACAGTAGAGACTAAGCATCACACAAGGATGACTGTATGGATGCTAAACAAAATGGAGGTTTACCCCTTTGCAGTTAGGTATCTCTAACCAGTGCCCCTTTCCTCTAGAGGTCGTAGCTAAAGGCATGAGACCCAAGATACCTGGCTGGAGACATAGGGCCAGCTCAAAGGGTGCCATGGCTTACAATGCCCCTGGGGCAAAGCACAATAATCTATGACATCCAATGAGATTTCACCTTTTTGGTCATATAACTGCAGTAAACTGTCTACTGCACTTTGTGCTAAAGCTGGCCACGCACTGTTCTATTGTTTTCATTCAACCCGCGGGCTGAATGAAATAGAACAAATTCCTCCATTATTGCACATGAACATTGATCGAGGAATCTCCCGCTGTCTTCATTGTATTCTGACAGCGGCCCTCAGCCACTGTCGAATACCTGGACAGAGGCGGCAGCTCATTGGTTGTCCGCTCTGTTCCTTTGAAGATTTTGCGACCGACTCCTTCTATCATCAAGAACCAGGCGAAATTCGCAGTGTATGGCCACCTTAGTCATTGTCGGTTGCTTTGTGTAATATAATATGAACCTTTACTCAGATGTTTACATGTAGTTATGTTACCAGTCTTCCTGAAATGGATACAATAAGAGAATTATAAGTGCTGAAATATTGATATGCCTAGGCCAATGGCCTAGGCCATTGGTCATGTGATCTCTTGTGGGAGGAACAAAGTTCAGCTTAGGTGATCCTCCCCTTCAAGAGAGATCACATGACCTAATGCCTAGGCCACCAGACATGTGGGCAACACTGATGGGAGCCTGGAGCCGCACTTTCTCTAAGAAAGCAGTCATTTTTGCAGTTTCAATTCCTCTTAATTATTCACGCCTGAAGACCGGTAACAAAGCTTTTTTGTTAACATTTGTCTTCAAGTCCACTTGAATAGTCCAAAAAAGCAAGTCGTTAAATTTGCATCTTGATACTTTCCACTGTTCCCTCGAAGCTCAGCAATCCAGAAATGAACGGATATTGCTTTTGTGAAAACGGAATCTTCGCCCTCCTTGTAAACACAAGACGCTTTTACTAAAAGGGAGGTTGCTCTTTGCATCTGGAATAGACTGGAGATGCTGCGCTTTGTGTTTTCCTTACCTCTGCTGCTGAAATATATCGGCCATAAACCCAGAAGACATTGTTATTAGTTTCAGGTGTCTCCGCATGAAAGGCAGCCGTCTAAAGCCCAGAAAATAATGGAAGATCTTAAATTGCGGCTTTAAGCAGCTGATAAGAGTGATATATGACAGGCTGTTAGGATCCCGGCAACGTGTTTTGTAGTTGTAAAAAGAGCCGGAGAAAATGGCAGAGTTATAACGGAGCTATAACATTCAGACAACACAGCACTGCTATCTATATTATACTGCACATTGCTTTTACACAAGGCTCAGATATTGCAAAACTCATCACTGCAATATTAAAGCCGTCTGTAAAAACTGAGGCCACAAAGAAAATGAAGAACAAGTAAGAGTTAGCCGAAGTTCGGATCTGTTGTAGATGTATATTCGCAAAAAAGTACAAAGTACACCATTGCCTTCTTAAAGACACACTCGTCACAAGTAAAAAGACCAAATGGTGCCCCCTGAATGGCACTGCAATTACCTAATGCATGTAGGGGTACACTCCACCTTATAGTTCCCCATTTGTTTTGAGAAAATGCATGTAGCTTACATTGGAGTAACGCACATGTTATCACAATGCACAGCAGCTGAAGTTTGAACCCATCCTAAGGTCCATGACTCAGGAAATACTGACGTCTTTAGAAGGAGCGAGCAGTGGTAGCTATTTGATTGGCTGTTTTGAGTTGCTGCACATTGGGCATCATCTTTCTTTACTCTGCCTCATTAATAATCCTGAAAATCTCTGCAATGCTTTCTCTACCACAGTTTTGTGTTTTTTCTAAGATTTTTTCTTTCCGTTCCTCTCATTTTACTCATCCTTCTCTCATCAGGCTTCTGTTACAAGCTGGTATAGACATTAACAGGCAGACCAAATCGGGAACAGCCCTCCATGAGGCGGCCCTGTGTGGGAAGACTGAGGTCGTCCGGCTTCTCTTGGATGTAAGTCTCTTATACTTTCTATTCTGAGGGGTATTGAGTTTTTTTCTGAAAGTATTTAAGGTTTTATGAGTATCAAGAGGTGGTGGGACAGGGCACTGACGAGTCACCCCTCTGACACCACACAAGAAATAATACACTGCAGTGTCACCCAGGGCCAGATATTTGTGATGCCAAAGAATCTAGTGCAAAGTGACAATGTTCTATGAAGAGGCCATAAAGCTGCCCACAGACATGAAATAACAATCACAATCTGATTTGGGTGGTTATCACATGTTTATACACCTACCGGTCGGTCACTCTCAGTGGACCATTGAGGCTAGGTTCACACCTGTAGTACACTGCACGACACCCGGGACGCGCGATCGTGCGCTTGATTTCAAAGGGGTGAAACCGCGCAGCAATTGCTAAAAAAAAGGTACAAGTGCCTTTTTTGCGACACACAGCTTTTTTAGCTGCAATCGTGTTCACTTGCGCGGGCGGAATCGCGGTGGGAAACCGCACGATCCGCCCAGCGCGACTGGGATGCCATTAGAAAATGGCACCCACGGCGTGAAAATGGTACCCACAGCGCGATCGGTTCACACCTTGGCGACTCCCGACCGTGCGGCAATTGTACATAAAACCGTGTGGATTGCCTCACGGTCAGGAGTCACCAAGGTGTGAACCTAGCCTGATGGGGAAATAGAGAATCTGTTCCAATCCTGTTGCTCCCCTTTTAGATGATTTATTACCAGCAATGCTTGCCTGCACTGCTCCATATTCCACAATAATAAACATGCATGCTCACCCGGAGAGGCGTTCATATTTATACGAGTGCCTGCACTGCTAGTGGCCAGATTATGGCCACCTGACGTTTGTAGGTAAATTAGCTATAATTTGGCTCTGAAGTTTCTAGAGGGCCAGACCATTATAAATAGGGAAGCAGGTTGTTTACCACGACAGTAGAAGTGATTTGTTTCTGAAGATACGGGGAAACAACGCGATTTAACAGCCTTTGAACGTGGGATGATTGTTGGCGCTCGGAGCCATGGAGCGAGTATCAGCAAAACAGCAGAATTCGTTAAATGTTCAAGAGCAGCTGTTGTTAAAGTGTTTAAAGACTGGACTGTCAGCCGAAAATCTGGGTCTGAACGTGCGAATTGTGGCCGTCAGCGACTAGTCAATGTTAGGGCAGAACGGAGAGTGGCAAGACTGGTACAAGACAACAGAAGGGCAACAGTGCATCAAATTACTGCAGATCTTAATCGGGGATCCTCTCAAATGATCTCTGAACGCACTGTTCGCCGTACACTGCATCGTATGGGATATGGAAGCCGAAGGCCTGTTCCAACACCTTTGCTGTCTGCAGTTAACAAGATAAAACGTCTCCAATTCGCACAGGAACACAAGGATTGGACAGTTGAGCATTGGAAAAAAGTCATGTGGTCCGATGAATAACATTTCCAGTTGCATCATGCAGATGGCAGAGTAAGAATTTGACGGGAACAGCATGACAGCATGCACCCCACATAGTACAACCCTTCAAGCTGGTGGGGGCAGTGTTATGGTTTGGGGCATGTTTTCCTGGCATGATTTGGGCCCTTTAATTCGCGTGGACCAACTAGACATGTGCGATTCGTTTTGTTACGAATAGAAATTCGTACAAATTTTCCTGAAATTCGGAAATTCGGAAGCATCCGAATTGCAGTTTCCGAATTATATCCGAAATACGAAATTCCGATCCGAATTTCTTTTGAAACAGGAACTAATATTAACCCTGTAAATGAGGTCATGACAAGAGAACATGACAAGATTTTTTTTTTTAATCCGAAATACGGATCCGCTGCTGCTGAGGGTTGCATTACAATACACAGGCAGGAAATACGAAATTCCGTTGACGGAATTTCGTTCCGTTACGAACATTCGTTATATTGAAGTTAAAAAGCAAAGTACATTTGTTAATATACTGGAGTTGATGGTATTTTTTAACTTTTATCCGAAATACGAAATTCGGATACGGAATCCGTTAATGGAATTTGTATTTCGTTTAGTTGACCAATCAGAGGTTTTCTCTTCTGCTGCTGAGAGTTTCATTACAATACAGGCAGGAAATACGAAATTCCGTTGACGGAATTTCGTTCGGTAATGAACATTCGTTATATTGATGTACATTTACATTGGAGTTGATGATAGGTTTTTTTTATCCGAAATTCGGATCCGGAATCCGTTAACGGAATTCGTAATTCGGATAAAAACACAACTACCACATCGACTCCAATATTAACAAAGGTATTTTTGCTTTTTAACTTCATCATAACGAATGTTCGTACAGTTACGAAAATGTGCCGAAACTAACGAAAATTCGTATTTCGTACGAATCCGAATTGAGTTTCGGACACGAATTACGAAATAACGGATATTCCGAAACGGAACAAATTTTTTGACGGCGCACAAGTCTAGGAACAACGTCTGAATAGCACAACATACCAAAGTATCGTTGCTGATCAAGTTCATCCTATCATGTTGATGGCGTATCCCAATGGAGATGGCTTCTTCCAACAAGACAATGCGCCATGCCGCGGTGCTCGTATTGTGCAGGAGTGGTTTCAAGAACATGAGGGAGAATTTACCATGCTTAGGTGGTCCCCACAATCACCAGATCTCAATCCAATTGAGCATTTTTGGGACAAAGTTGAAAGAGCCATCAGGCAGCTGGTTCCACAACCATCAAATCTCAAAGAACTGGACAGTGCTATTCATCAGGCATGGTGTCAGATTCCTCGCATCACCATCAACATCTCGTGGAGTCAATGCCAAGAAGAATCGCCGCAGTATTGAAGGCAAAAGGTGGCACAACGAAGTACTGATGGGGTGGTCATAATAATCTGGCCACCCAGTGTATATTATACTGCACATTGCTTTTACACAAGGCTCAGATATTGCAAGACCCATCACTGCAATATTAAAGCCGGCTGTAAAAACTGAGGCGGCAAAGAAAATTAAGAAGTAAAAGTTAGCCGAAGCTTGGATCTGTTGTGGATATATATGCAACAAAAAGTACAAAGTACACCATGGCCTTCTTAAAGACGCACAAGAAAAAATACTTTTTTTCCCCTAAGGTCATCCATCCACCTTATTCTTCTTCTTACCCTTTCTTCACCTTACTTCCACAATCTCACATAGCTCCTCTCCAGCTAAGTTTATTGGGAAATGGCCAAAAAAGCTTCCAACTTGGCTTTAGAGGAGCAATTATAACCTTCTATATATAATCTTCTATATATGATCTTCTATTTCCTGGCTCACCCCATGTCGGCATACCACGGGTTAGCTCTGCCCCCAACCCCAAGTAGGACCACCTTCACTAGATGATAAATCCCCCCTGCTCCACTCACCATGTGTTCTTTTTTTGTCCTCGCTCAGGACACTTCACTATAGTTGTTGTTAGGTTTTTGTAGTTTTTTTGGGACAGTTGGATGCTGTGGATGTCTTGTCCACCTACATTTCCAGAACCAAAGATTTTTGCTCTTCGGATAATCTGTTCATTCTACCAAGGGGCCCCAGGAAAGGGGCTGCAGCTTCGACTAGAGTGTTGTCTTCATGGGTGGTCAGGGCTATTCAGCTGGCGTATGCTTCGGCAGGCCTTCCTCCTCCTCTCTAAGTCAGGGCTCATTCGACCCGGTCGGTGTCTACCTCCTGGGCTGCGTACTCCAAGGTTCCGGCGGAGATTGTTTGCAAGGCCGCCAGCTGGTCTACCCCTAATACGTTCATCCGACATTATAGGGTGGACGTCTCCTCTTATTCAGCTGGTTCCTTTGGTTCGGCTGTGCTTTCTGCCGCCTGTTCTCGTTGATTGTACTAATAAATTATTTTTTGCATTGATTACCCTCCAATATTTTTTTTTGGCTAGCTATCTCCCGTGGTATGCTGACATGGGGTGAGCCAGGAAAACGGAAAATGGTTATCAATACTTACGGTAATTTTCCTTTCCTGGCTCTCCCCCATGTCAGCATAGCTTTCCCTCCCTGGTTGTGTCTTCGCTCGGCGTGTAATAGAACGCATGGTGAGTGGAGCAGGGGGGATTTATCACCTAGTGAAGGTGGTCCTACTTGGGGTTGGGGGCGGAGCTAACCCGTGGTATGCTGACATGGGGGAGAGCCAGGAAAGGAAAATTACGGTAAGTATTGATAACAATTTTCCGTAATATAACCTTTTATATATGATCTTCTATATATGATCCTCTATATTAGGCCACGCCCCCTCCCGCCCCTGAATGCAGGTGTTTTTTCGTTGGTAGATCTCAATGAGCTCGTCATTTGAAAAGTAGATCTCCAGATGAAAAATAGTGGGCGCCCCTGCTCTATATGAAGTCTTATACAGTATATGTCTTCTGTATATAATGGTGCTATGTAATAATTGTACATGTTTTCCTTATTGTGATTAGGAAAATTAAAAACATTGCACAAGAATATGATGTATTTATATATCCAGCCAGCAGATGGAGCTTTAGGCTTCTTCTTACATGGTTTCCATTATCTCCTTCTTACTCTTGTAGAAAAACCAGAAACCTCCGAGAGAGAAACCAGAAATAAAACATCAGTGTGAAAAACTATAAACTTGCCCAAATGTAGAAAATATGTCTCCATAATATCTTTTTTCCCTCCTGTAAGAGGCAGTATTACGATTTGGTCATGTATTTGGCCATTCCAATGACTGGGTAATATATGGCCACAATGGTTCCCTACTACTCCCAACATCCCTTTTTGTGTTTCTATTAATTTGCCCCTCTATGCTTTCTTTTTTATTTGTCTTTCCACTGCTACTCAAAGAGGGGAATTTATCAAAACTGGAGCAGACAAAATTTGGAGCAGTTGCTCTGGCAACCAATCAGCTTCTCTCTTCAGTCTGTTCAGTTAAGATTTCAAAATGAGAGAGAAAAGCTTGCTCCACTTTTGATACATTCCCTTCAAAGACTTTTAATACATAGTTAGTTACATAGTTAATCAGGTTGAAAAAAGACACAAGTGCATCGAGTTCAACCTAAGCTTCAATGCAAGTTCAATACAAGCTTCCAAGCAGTTGTAGTAGTGCTTTGATGTCACCATATTCGTGCATCTTAAAAAATATATTTGAAGTATATCCATAGTCAAAACTTTCTTTCTTAGTTTTGTATAGAGAAGGGAAGGCTTAAAACTTCTGTCAGTTTTTTTTTTGCTATTTTTTTCACTTCCTGTCAACAGGAAGTAAGAGGAAATCTCTGCAAAGCGAGGGATTTCCTCTCATAGACAGTTGTCACTACAACCAGAGTGCCCATTGGGAAATGTTTCCTCTAATACTATTCTGGTGATAAGTCAAAATTTTGGACTTTTCCTCATTTTCGGTGCAGGCGACAGTGGTCCCCAAGATCCTAATGGGGACACAACAACCAAGTCACAGGGGTTGGTAACCTTTCCGCACTGTATCCAAGACTACAAAAACATAGCTTTAGATACACTTTAAAATAAAGACTCAGCTTTCACTAGTGTTGTCCCCCCATGAAAATTAATGGGCTGCCAGTGCACCCGCACATACTGGAAATTGCACATGACCTTCTAACGTGTGCTTCAAAGTAGGTGCATTGCCTTAGTGCATTGGGGTGCCATTCGCAATGAATAATGCCACAACGCGGTGCATGCATTACCGCGCATTACCGCAACATGGAAATCTGAATCCAGCCTGAGTCATTCCAGGTCTAGTTTTTTTCTACACTTTTGGGACATTTACATTTTTGAAATGTGGTGAAGATAATGAAAATAAAAAATAATGTATCCAGTCTGTGAATGCCTCGGAGGATTGGTTCCTGTAGAGCAAGAATTTTTTTTTTTGATGTAATGGCCTCTTGAGATTTGCAGTCCCTCGGTGCCACCCGGCCGTTCACAACATTAAAGAAAGACCCCGAGGGACGGTGCGGGGTAGGACATAGTGCTATCGGCCTCGGAGTCCCTGTGGTTTTCCTCTGTTCTCAGTGTAACCCTCCAAGTGCCTCACACTCTCCCGTTATATCTCTCTGTGAGAAGAAATACAGAGCTGCCTTCCTAACAGAACCTGTTCACACATCTTCACTTCTTCATAAGTAGCAGTAAGAAATAATTTATTGCTTTATCCTCCCGTGGCCAACTGTGCATACAAAACGGATGGCTTATAGCACACACACATTGCCTCAATCTTGAGCTGTTTATCTCGCCTGCATATACAGTAGCTGCTTCCTGATTTCTTTTCTCGTCAGTGTAGGATCAGGAAACCATGATTTCTTGGCCTTTGCAAATGGAGGAATTCATTTGTGTAACCTTGACTATCTATATTCCTAGGTATTGTCTCCCTTATACCTTTTATGTTCACCTGTGTCTGGTGTTTACCTTGTACGTAAGCCCAAATACATAAATGTAATATATTACTGCCTTTAAATGTGGTGACTGCATTGTTTTTTCCCCCTTTATTCTCACCTGGTTATCCAGGACACTTCCTGTCCTGGGGTGACAACACTCACTCATTCTACTGGAGGGGCAGCGTTGTCACTCTAGAATACTTATTGCTCTATTGTCCATTGAGGGATACAGCTCTGAGGAATTCTGAGGCGTAGGGTTATGTTGCTGCCATTAGAGGCACTTTAATGCTTCTTGTCTCAGAAGCACATACCGTAGTTCCCTTTCCTCGGGTACTGCCAGGAAAGAAAGACAGCCTTGTGTTAGCTCCAAGTCACTCCGGTCAGAGCTTGCACAGGGTTAAAGGAGAACTATGAGGTTTGTGCTTTTCACTCATCCTCATAGTTCTAGCCGACCTGTGACAATGAGACTGTCACAGGTCGGCTCAGTAGATCGGGAGGTGAGCAATCACATTCCGGCGTTCGCTCACCTCTCGATCCTGTCACGGCTCTCTGCAGTGACAGGGGAGGGGCTGGATTTCCTCCTTCCCGCTCCGATCCGCCAGCGCTGACTGGCGGAACGGACGGGGGAGGGGGCGGGTACAGCTGGCTCTGCCTCTAGATAGGCAGAGCCAGCTGTCAGTCACGCAGCTGGGCGGATCCCGGCACAATTGTCGGGATCCACTTCAGCTGCGGCGTCTCAGTATATACTGCGGCGTCTCAGTGAGCCTAGGGTGACGGGAGGATGATAGTTTGTGTCATCCCCATAGTTCTCCTGTAAAGACTCTGCCCACCCCCATGTGACAGCACTGGGCCAATCACCAACAACCAGCCCTGTCACATGGATTGGCTCACATGCTCCTCCATACCTGGAAGTACCGGGCATTTCTTTTGCTTCTGGCAGTGGAGCGGAGGAAAGACGAGCATTTGCTGCTGGGGAGAAGGTCATTAAAGAATAAATGTCTTTCCTGTGCTATTCCTTGTCATACCCACTTCCTGTTGTGTGATATTTTTTTTCAGAGCGGGATCAATGCTCATGTAAGAAACACCTACAACCAATCCGCGCTGGACATAGTGAATCAGTTTACAGGAACCCAGGCCAGCAAGGAGATCAAACACATGCTACGAGGTGAGGAATATATCATAGGGCTCTTCTCACTGGTTGCTGTGCAGCCTTGTTTATAAGTTACATTAAATAAGCACAGTTTGGGTTCTCATTAAGGCTTTTCACTGGAGAAGTTGTGAGTTGCAGGAACTGTTATTCCCAATAGAACCTAATATGTAATCTCTGGTCAAGCAGAAAGTTATGTCACCAACTCCCCCGATCTCAGGGAATCATTCATCTAGAAAATGTGATTGGATGTTTTGGATTCTCTCAGCTGAGATCTCGTTATATGGTATTGGGCAGCACCGTGGCTTAGTGGTTAGCACTTCCGCCTTGCTGCACTGGAGGTCCATGGTCCTAGTCCTAGTCAGGACACTATCTGCATGGAGTTTGCATGTTCTCCCTGTGCCTGTGTGGGTTTCCTCTGGGTAATCCAGCTTTCTCCCACACTCCAAAGACATGCGAAGGTTAGCTGGCGCCAGTCTAAATTGGCCCTATATGTGTGTGAGATAGGGACCTTAGATTGTAAGCTCCTCGAGGGCAGGAACTGATGTGAATGTGCAGCGCTGTGTACATTATTGGCTCTATAAATATATTTGTAATAATAAATAAATAAATAACTTTTTCATAGGAAGAGAATCCTCAAATCTTCCTCTTCTCTTTCTTTCCCAGAAGCTTCGGCAGCTCTGCAGGTCAGGGCACTGAAGGATTACTGCAATAATTATGATCTGACCAGTCTTAACATAAAAATGGGAGATGTGATCACGGTGAGTTCATGTTCAGGGAGCAGCCAAGTGAATGAAAATGTCAAATGTGATGACGTTTATGAACTTTTCTGAAAGACGTAGCTGTGCACAGGGTGACATATTATACTTCTATACCTCTGTGGGTGATATGCAGTCTGTCTTTTCTCTTTCTTGTGTCATCACATCAATTCTTCTCCCATTCGATTTGTCTCCAGAAACAAGTGAAAGTTCATCCTTGAGTGCAGTATTCATGGATCCATGGTGCATTTATCTATTAATATAGATCATTTAATAAACAGATTTATGATAACGGGGCCATGGAAATGGCTGTCATTAGAGGACCTGCTACAACTTACTATGTAGGGGTGCACTTTAAGGGGTTGTCCTTCAGTAGGAGAATCTGGGGCTGTTTGCTTCTACATGGCCTTGCTGTCCAGGCAAATCACATGTCTTAGCTTACTTAAAATGGACCAAGCAGACATATTTGTCATGTTAGGTGCATGAACACTTAGTAAATTGTTAGGTAACCCCTCCAACAATGTATTACTTGTAACAGAGATGACAGTACTCCACCCGACAATGCCTTGATCTGCTTTTCTCTCCTTCGGATGGAGCCATCTTTGTTCAGGTATCTTCCAGGGTCAGCCTCTACTTCCTGGACTGAGATGACACAATTATGTAAATCAAGGTGTCAGTATAGTTTGTGGTTGTGTTTACAAATTTATGACACAGATGAGCCCCTGCTGCAGCCTCTCACCTTGTGCTACAAAGTTCAGCTGGCCATACACTGTTCTAGTTTTTTGTTTTTTTGTTCAACCAGCGGGTGACAGAAATAGAACAGATTCCTCCATCTAGCATTGACTGTTTCCTTTGTATTCTGGCAGTGGCCGCCGGCTGCTGTCGGAAACCACGACCCCAAAACTCTTTTTGTTCAGAGATTTTCCGAACAGCTCCCTTTTTTCAGCTGATCGAGGGATGCCGGCCGAAACCCACCCACCCACATAGCGTATGACCAGCTTTACAATGTTGCAGCCTGCAGCAGACTGATGACATCATTAAGCTTAGGCAAAGTCACTTGTCTGGGACTCCAGTGCAAATGTTGAATGATAAATCTACAGATTGAAAAATGATTGTTTCCATTAGAGATGCACCGATACTGATATTCACCCAAATGCTCCGATACTCACCTCTGATACCGGAACTTCCTGTCAGAGGGAGATCTCCCTCTGACCAGCAGTGCCGAGGGAGCATGGAGCTGGCTTGCGTTCCAGTCAGGCAGCCGGGTGGTGGGTTATGACCCGGCTTCCTGATTGGTTAGAAATCCAGGCTGCCTAGCAACAAGTGAAGCAGGCTTCCTAGCCAATCAGGATACCTGGAGATGGGTCATGACGTGTCGCCTGGCTTCCTTGATGTTAGGCAGCCTGGCTTCCTAACCAATCAGAATGCCGGGCAGCATGTCATGATTCGCCTCCCGGCTTCCTTATTGGTCAGGAAGCCACACTGCCTAGCAACAAGTGAAGCCGGTTTCCTAGCCAATCAGGAAGCTGGGAGGTAGGGCATGACGTGCCACCTGGCTTCCTGATTGGCTAGGAAGCCAGGTTCACTTGATGCTAGGCAGCCTGGCTTCCTAACCAATCAGGAAGCCAGATGGCACCTCATGACCTGCCGCCCGGCTTCCTGATTGGTCAGGAAGCCAGGCAGCGTCTGCAAGTGAAGCCAGTGTTCTATCGCTAGAACAACCGGCTTCACAGGCAATCAGGAAGCCGGGCGACAGGTCGTGATCTGGCGCCGGACTTCCTAAATATCGGGGCACAAGGCACCGGTATTGGTACTCAGTATCGGCGAGTACCGGAAAAAAATATCGGTACTCGATACCGCAAAAACGGTATTGGTGCATCCCCAGTTTCCATATACTGTGCCATCAGCACTTATTTCATGCTAATTTGTAAAGTTACTGAAAGGGATGCTTCAAGCTTCATGCTGTTTAATGTGTTCCATTAACAATGACCAGCTTAGAACTACTTGTAAGAAACTTCTGTTCAAGTGGAGCTTTTTATGTCTACTGAATCCTATGTACCACCTTTTATCATGATAACGTTTATCTCCAGTTAGGAAGAAATAAATATCCTTGCAGTGATGCTACCCTCGCACTGCGAAGGTTAACCGCTCATTTTTCTCTAGGGGACCTTTTATTATGGACATTTACTTACCTGCTCCCCACTGGTTTGAAGACCAGCACCCGTAGCATCCACACCCCTGCACTCCAGTGGCTGTGACATTGTCACGTCCCATAGCCCTGCATTATACGTCAGGATGCCGCTGTATAGTACATGAGCTGGAATGTAGGGATGAGAAGTGACCACTGACCCCCGGGGGGAGCGGGTATCCGATAAGTAGAACTCTTCTTTAACATACCCAGTATTCTGACCCATAGGGTGGCGGTGGTGGGTTTTTTGGGGGAAGCGGGTATCAGATAAGTAAAACTCTTCTTTAACATCCCCCTAGACTTCAGTGAGCAGTTAACCCTGGCAGGTTTGTTTTATCTGGAAATAGGCTTTAATTGTGTAAAAAACCCCAAACCATCGAAGCAGAAGTGAATTATGATGGAGTTGAAAGTGTCTCTAAATCTGGCCTGTGCCACCTCTCTTTCTCCCCCTGCTGACAGGTTTTGGAGCAGCATCCTGACGGCCGGTGGAAAGGTTGCATCCATGACAACCGGACGGGCAATGACAGAGTGGGCTACTTTCCATCCAGTCTTGTTGAGGCCATCACCAAGCGAACAGGCAAAGCCTCTCCTTTTTCTTTAAAGGATTTATACCATGCCATTGTGCTCATCGGTGCGCTGTTCTGGCCCAGGGGTTTAGAGACGAAGCTTTATCTTGTATGAATCAGTTAGTGGCACCCAGCGCTCGAGTGTTACACATTCTTCTGGTTTTGCTTTATTTGATCACTACACCCCCCGATAGCATGCGTTTACATACCGCCGCTCTATGTGAACAGTTAGTCCTGCTCATTCCTGTTTTCCATGCCAGCATAAGATCTGTTTGAATATATCTGCTGGTGTCATGGGATTCCATCCAAAGCCCTGTCTCCGTTCTATTAAACATTTGCCCGTGACTGGATGTGTCCAGATTGGAGAATTGCTCTCCAGTTTGGGAAGAATGTTAGAGCGGAATTGGGCAAATCCCAAATTCTGGACATAACATATCTCAGTGTTTTTTATTTTTTAAATCACCCGGTATCATTGTTTTTCTCAGCGTCAGTGGAGCACATATCCCCTAAACTCCACGCAAACAGTTATGTGGCAGATACCGGAGAGGTAAAAAGATCTACACGCAATTGTTAAAGTCTCATAGGGGCTTTGACATGTTAATATAATTTCAGCAGTCGGTTTCAATCTGCAGCTTTCTTCGGAATAATACCTTGTGATCCTGCCATGAAGGTCCTTGTTTAGGCACTTCCTGTTATGGAGTGACAACTGTCTCCCAGTCACCGAGTCTTTGATGGAGACTATAAGCAACTATGCTGACACATTTTGCAGGTATGGTCCCCCGTTGTCAATATCCAGAGCAATGATGTGCAGCTGAAGCTGGAGCAAGTGCATGTAGACAGGAAGTGGCTGAAAGAGGCTCCAGGAGATCACGCAGAAGCTAAAACAGCATTTTGTGGCAAAATAATGACAATTGTTTATGATACACAGTGCGGTAGGAGACTACATGTATGTACCTATGATATACAGGTAACACAAACAATTGCTTTGTTGTTGTTTTCCATATAAATATTGTTTTTTTTTCATCCATTGTTGCTTTTTGGTGCTGCTGGTCTTCTCCCAGCCACTTCCTGTCTACATGTTCTGACTCCAGAGCCAACTGCTCATCATTGCTCAGGACCGGCTTTCTGATAGTGACAACAGTCGACCGAGCCTGGCAGTGTGCACGGATGCTTGCAGGCACAATCAGGAACATGTGTGGCAGGTTGACAGTGCAGGAGCACAATTGGGAAGTTGTCACCCCATATCAGGAAGTGCCCAAACAAAGGCCTTCATGGCAAAGTCATCAGGTATCCTGTAGCCTCTTGCCACTGACCCTTTGAAAGTAACTTAACAATGGGAGGTGGGGATTGGCTTCTGATCATGTGATCGCAGTGACAGCCAATCATAGCAATCACGTGATCAGGAGCCTGTCCTCGGGTCCCGAAATTAAAGAGTGACCGGTGAGAGCAGAAGTAGGAATTATAGCAAACAGGTTTTGCTGCTGGAGCCCCCGAGAGTTAGAGGAAGTTAAGGGATGACCAATCAGACTTCATTGTTTTGGCGACCTTAATCTGATAGAAATGAAAATGGTCCACTACCTATAAGAAATGGTCTGTTTGGTTCCTATAGGTATCTGACCTTTGCCCTTGCCAATAAAAGAAGTCCAATAGAGATCACCGATGCCGATCACATAAATACATGAACCCCATACCCAGGCATAGGAATAGCCTCTTCATTTATCTCAGTCAGTGTTTATGTTGATTTTGTTTATTGTATATATATTTTTTTCCATCACCTTATTTCTGTTGGTGTTTTATTTGCTTGTGTTCTGCTCCATTTTATGATTGCCGTATTTTTGTTGCTTTATTTATTTGCTTGCATTCTGCTCTGTTTTGTTACTGTCAGGTTTTGTTTGATCTTTTCTGTTGCCGTTTTGCCTGTAGGTTCCTGGGGCTCCTGTCACATTGGGACCCCCAGGCCACAGCTGATGTTGCACAGGGCGACAGTGCCAAATGGTGGCACGCACCACTCCTTCCATTGCCTAATGCCACCTCCACATTCCCATCAGATTCTTTTCAGTTCGTTTGGTTACCAGAGAACCTGCAGCCCCACAGGGGAACGGCTGTGTCCTCCAGGTAGTCACTTCATCTCTTGTTTTTGCAGTTAAAGTGTATCTAAAGCCTTCCAGCGTTCTGGGGACAGATGTCGAAGAAGAGATGTCCCCTCACTCTGTAGAGATTGACTCTCACTCTCCGTTGTGTCTCCAGGACAGGAAGTAAAGGGAAATCTCCCCCATTCCATCCACTATTCCAAAAAAGAAAATAAAGTTTTGGCTTTAGATATATTTTAAGTTTTCATCTTACTTGCATGTTCTTTTTTTGCCTTTCTTTGTTTACTTATGTAACCACAACCATTATTGTTGCCTGTAGGCTGTTATATACCATTGTCTGTGTTGGTTACTACTGCCTCCTGTAGACTACTCTGTAGTCAGTGTCTGTAGTGCCTCTCATTCATCCAGGTCATGGTATAGCTAGTAGCACTCTGTCACATTCAGCTTAAAGAAATCGAGTTTATTATGACTAACAACCACGAGTTGGACTGCAGTCATTCTACATCAGAGGTAGGCAACTCCGGCGCTCCAGCTGTTGTGGAACTACACGTCCCATGAGGCATTGCACATCCCTGACAGCCACAGGCATGACTCCTAGAGGCAGAATCATACTGGAATGTATAGTTTCACCACAGCTGGAGTGCCAAGGTTGCCTATCCCTGGTCTACATTTTGTTGGTGTACACAACTAAGACTGATCAATCGATGAACTGGTTGTTTTGATATTCCTGTACAACCAATAAGTATGGACATAGGTGTGTGCAGGCTATTGCATTAGGGTGTGCACACAAAATTAAAAACACACACGTGTCTGTGTGTGTGTGTATATATATATATATGTATATATATATACAGACCTGAGGCATCCTAGATTCCCATTTCTTCAGCTGTCCCATACCTCTTCCAGCAGGGGTGCAGTAATGAAGCAGGGAGCCTGGCAGGTGGTCATGTGACCACCCGCTTAGCTACCCGATTGGATGGGAAGCAGCAACCACGCTACCCCGCAGCTTCCCAAACACTGTTATGTGAAGAATGTAAGTGGCAAGTTCTGCTGAGCTGAGCCGGTCACAGAGATCTTTGTGATCTCTCCACCGGCCCAGTGACTGAAAACATGGCACCCGCTGTTGCGATTTCGGTGTTGTGCTCGGGGTGATTAGGGTGTGTCTAGGCACACCCGGCACACCCTGTGCGCATGCCTATGAGTATGAATGTTTTCCACTAGTATGTTGAACTCTTGCATATAATATAACAGCACTGAGCCAAGAATGATATCAGTTGAATTTATTGGATATATGTTTTATAGAATGATCCCTCAGGAGATCAGTCCCCAGAATCTTTTCAATGGACCGCCACCCACACAAAGTCTTTTTGTGTCATTTATTGTCAAACAGACTAATTCAGGAAACACATAAAAATGTTTTCCAAGCACTACATGTTTCCAGTCCACATTTGCAATTAAAAAACAATCCGATCTCCGCAGGCAAACTTACCAGCAATGTTGTTTTTCCAAAGACTATTTTCATCATCCATTTAACTAAATGAGTACATAGGTAGCAATAGATGTCGTCTCTTCCTGTAGACGGGTTTATACCATTGCTCTATATGGGTTACTGCTGATCTCTGCCTCCTGTAAACAGGTCTAGACAATAAGCCTGTATTAGTAACTATTGCTGCCAGGAGACTGGCATGCATTAATTCCTGCCATCCTCTATAGATCGGTCTGCAATATCGATTATTACTTACTCCTGCAGACTAATATATACCATTGGTCTGTATCAGTTGCTATTACCTCCTGCAGATGGATGGGTATCAATCATTGGTCTCTATCATTTACTATCTCTGTAGACTAATAGATATTATTGGTCTGTATCTGTTGCTGTTTCCTCCTGTAGACTGATACACATCATTGGTCAGTATCAGTCTCTCTTGCTTCCTGTAGACTGATGTATATCATTAGTCTGTATCACTTGCTATTTCCTCCTGTAGACTAATATATATCATTGGTCTGTACCAGTTGCTATTGCCTCCTATAGACTGGTCTATCTCATTGGTCTGTATCAGATGCTATTGCCTCCAGTAGACTGATATACACTATATTGCCAAACGTATTGGGACGCCTGCCTTTACACGCACATGAACTTTAATGGCATCCCAGTCTTAGTCCGTAGGGTTCAGTATTGAGTAGGCCCACTTTTTAACTGAATGATTTGGAGGGGTGTCCCAATACTTTTGGCAATATAGTGTATAACATTTTTGTGTATCAGATGCTATTGCCTCCTGTAGACTGGTATATATCATTGGTGTGTATCAGTCGCTATTTCTTCCTGTAGACTGGTCTGTACCCCTTGCCTCCACTAGTTACTGTTCTCTTCACTTGCAGGATGGACTGTACCCTTATACTGTATTAGTGATTGTTCACTTTTCTTTGGTAATGTAGTATTCAATTAGTCTATATTATTGACTATTATCTTTCCTTGTAACATGGTTTATTCCACTGCCGTTATTAGTGATTTATCTCTTCATTTGTATAAAGGACTGAGCCATTAATCCATGTTAGTGATTGATAAATTGTGCAATGCTTCTGTATTTTAGCCAGTAGAGTGAAATGTTTATCGGCCTGTAATGATTTTTGCACTCAAAGTAGATTTTTACATTCCGTATTTTCTTATTATCTCAATGAATTTAGTTATTTAGTCTGATTTGTCTAATCCTAACCTATAAATAGAAATCGGGCCATAGCAATAACATTTAAAGTAAACCTGTGGCCAGGCAATGGACATTCAAGCATCACTGACATCTGTAGCTGCAGCCACTCTGGAGCAATTCATCCTCAACATTTACAGCAGAAGCACTGACACGATTTAACCGCTTCTTTCAGCAGTTTAGCTCAACCTGTTTCCCCTTTTTAGCAGTGACACAGCAGCGTTCTAATTTCTAGTGTATACGTAGAGCAGGAGCTGTGGAAGGGGGGGGGCAGGGGTACCTGAGCAGCTGAGTAACTGCTGGGAGCAGTGTGAGTTAATCTGCTGAGAGAATGGCTAACATTGACTTCAGTGCTACTGCTATGAATGTTAAGGATGAATTTATCCACAATGCCTGCAGCTACAAAGGGGCTTGTTTTAAAGTTCACAATTTGGTTGTTAAAGCAGCCCAGTTCCCGAACTAAAATACACATTAAAAGCTGTGCTTGTTAGGCAGAAATCATGCACTTTATTCTGCTGCTGCCCATGTTGCCAAGTTCTGCTTCACTATGGAGCATCTTCTGGTTGAAACATCTTCTAAAACCAACACTTCTGGGAGTGTCTGTCGCTTGTGTCCCCTGCAGTGCTCAATAGTTCCTCCTGCTGATCTCCATATCACTACTGTGACCTGTAGTGGCGTGGAGGTTGGCAGGAGGGGCCACTGAGTGCTTTAAGAATATGTTAAATCATAATACTCAAATGTCCATGGCTTGACCACAGGTTCATTGTAAGCCACTGGAAACTCTGTTAGCACAGAACTGTAACGTCTCATTGGCCATGACCATGGACAGGGCGCTACCTAAACCAATGGGATGCCCAGACACATTTTTAGTGCTTAGTGATTTAATAGGCTGAATATTGGTTTTGACGGCTCGTGTTAAAGAGACAACTCAAAGAATGTCTTAAACGCTTTGCAGACCTGGTAATATCTGCAAACTTATGTCGTGTTTTTTTCTTTCCCATGTTTTTGAAGGCTCTCGGGGATCAGATTCTAGTCCATCTCACATGTCTCCGGGATCTACTTCTGTGGTCCCTACTGAGGAAATTTGGGTATTGAGGAAACCGTTTGCAGGTACTATATATGACACAAATTGTTCTCATTCAGAACGTTTCCCAGAAAGTATATGTTTAGTATTGCCAGTTCTGTTTCCTGGGGAATATACCCTCTTCCAAGGGCTGCCGATGCTTTGTTATTACAACATCTTTTCCAGCCCAATTCTCTACTGTCAGGCAATGTATGAAGCTCAGAACAGCTTTAGGACATCTATCTAATCTGCAGCGCGAATGCTGTTATTGTGGGTCTCTAGCCCAAACTAACATTTTGCATACCTTGCAGGTAGATTGATTAACTGTTAGACATCCATGAAGTAATTCTCACACCAGAACAAAGAAAACAAATGTGTTGCATTTTCACCCAATTAAACCCTCAATGTTTCAGGGGCTACACATGACCCGTTCACCATGGCATGTGTGAGTGACCAATCAGCAGGCCCAGACACTGTCATGTGGGGCTGTGCTATTATGTCATTCCCCTGTCTAAGCACTGCAACCAGTCCACACCGGAGCTCAGACGGGCAAGGAGGCATGGAATTGTCCCGAATAGGCAAAGTGACAGCATCTCTTTTGTGTAATGACAACAATTGAAGAAGAGCTCTCTGAAATATGCTTTAGGCCCAGGCTGTGAATGTAGTTTTGGAATTATTTTTGTATAGTATGAAATCTTTTTCAGTTGAAAAACACTCGCTATCTATTTCTACAAGTACATGACGGGCGCTTCTTCGTGCATTTTCCAAAGGCCATGTGGATAAATAAAAGCCTTTGGAAAATGCAGGCAGCAGCGCCCGTCATTTATTTGTAGAAATCAGCGTGGATTGGTTTTAATCTTCTCCGGGGCTTACATCAGCCACAAATACCAACTGTGGTAACTTGGTAATCCTTATAAAACAGGATCGAGTGGCTACACCCCATGTTGCAATGTGGCTTCTTACACTGTGTGAAAAAATAACTTATTACCCACTTCTAGATTTCTCCATTTCTCCTGCCAAGTCATGCCTTCCTTCTGGTAATTTTCTGTAATCACTTGAAATCACTGTTAACCGCTTCACCACCAATCCAGGCTGCTACAGCTACGGTCTGCTACAGCGCCTAAGAAGCAGGTTAATGGGTAGTTGCTCTTGTTAAACATTGTGGATCTTGTTCACTGCCAGCAACTACCTGTCCACATCTTCAGCTCGTCTACCCCATGAATGAATCATCCTCACTTTGCATCACTGTGCATCTTTCCATAAAATCTCCACTTTATGCTTGATGCATTGTACACTTGATATCTAGTTTACAGGTTGCAGACTCTGCATTCCCGGGGTGTTCCAACACTATACTTTAAAAACGTGACAAGGAGGAGCCAATAGATGATAGGAAGCTTCAAAAATCAGGACACTGAAATAATCATTTTTATCAGTAGTATTGGTTACCTGTGTTGTGCCATGTTGCTTTCACAGGCTTCTGAAGTGTCTGTGCACAGAAAGAAATGTTAACATTCTGCTTTGTGCCAAGGTAGACCCTGAGCACAGGAAACAAGATGGGGGAGAAAATCTATAGATTGATATTTTTTTTTAATGCCTTCTTTGCAATGCTAACTGTGGCAGAAAATGAGAGTTGGCTTTAGGGTAGGTTTATGTTGTCAGTCTGAGGTTGCCTAGGTCCTAACTGCATCTGGTTACACAATGGGACCGGGAGTCTCCCAGCAGCTACTTTTAGGTTTCACTGGACTCTGCAAGCAGCATTATTTGTGGTGTACATTTACAAAGCACAGTGCAAAGTATATGAACAGGACACACTCACCACTGAAATGATTTGCAGTGAATATGCAAAACATTTCTTGTCCAAGCTTACACCCCAGGGACTCTGAGGGTTCAGTAAACCCTAAAAGCAAAAGCGGGGTTACTCTGGGTGCAGACAAGTGCTGGGTGGCTGTAGAGCCCCAATGCACAGCTATACTTAAAAACTTTTCAACTATGAAATAGAATTTTGTCCAGGAAATGGGCATGCAAATACTTATTTGTATCCTGAAGTAAATACACTTTAAGAAGTCCTCACTGATCTACAGTATGTAACTGCAGACAGTGAGGAGTAATTCACTCTTAAAGTGTGCAGCAGAAGCTTCTTAATTTTACTTTCTCTTTATAGCTCTCCTCTCTTCTGGCAGCAGCGAGTTGGCAGCCTTTTAATATCTAATGTAAACACAGAGCAGAGTGCTGAGGCAAGGAATCCAGATGTCAATGAGTTAAAGGAGAACTATGAGGTGAGTGATGTCCACTCACCCTCATAGTTAGAGCCGACCTGTGGCAAAGAAACTGTCACAGGTCGGCTCTATAGATTGGGAAGTGAGCGAACATATACCGCCACTCCCTCACCTTCCAATCATCTCCCTGCAAAAAGCGATGACTGTCAGTCATCGCTCCCAGCAGGGATTCCACCCTCCCATACAGCGCTGAGTGGCGAAACGGGAGGGGGCGGGCACAGCTGGCACTGCCTCTAGATAGGCAGGGCCCGCTGTCACTCAGCCAGCTGGGTGGATCCGTCCAGGCTGCGGCACTCTCAGTATATCGCGGGCAATAGCCCTCGATATACTGATCTGTAGGGTCACGGGAGAACATATACTAACCTCCTCCCGTGACCCAAAGAGCACACTTACCCCATAGTTTTCTTTTAAGTGCTTCTGCATGGAACTATGAGGATAAATTGCTCCATAGTGCCTGCACCTACAGAAGTCAGTGATTTTTTTATAGCTGATTAACTGCTTGTTAAGAGTATAACAATATTTGAAATGTCAATAGCTTGGCCACATATTCTTAACAAACAGGGAATTATGCTTATGGATCAGTGGGAACCTCCCCTCTTTGGACCACCACTAGTTAGCTGTCCCAGCAGTGTTGCCGAGTAGCTTCAAAACTCTCACTGTTTTTGTTCATTGTGGTGCAGCCTAGCCTTAAGAATGCCATACAGCAACACTGGAAAAGCAAAAGGCTTCCAAGGCCAAGAAAGTCAAAGAGGGAGCCAACTGCTGGTAATCCGAAGCTTCTTGCAGCTGACACATCTTATTGATGGAGGTTCTGAGAGCGGGCTCTTACCGATTCGTAGTGAGGTCACATGTTAATAGGTTTCCACTTTCTGCCTTAAAATAAAACCTGCTGTAGATGTTGGAAGCAAGCTGAGGGAATATAGAGAGAATTAGTCTATCATCAAAGCTATCATTATTACCCATTTATAGCTGTACTGTGAGGACTGTATCCTTTCAATAGAAGTATTGCTATAAATATGTTGTATCTAAGTGTAGCTAAACATTACCTTGCCTCGAAGTATAATTTTGTCTTCAAGTATTGCAGTGCTGGATACACTGGTAGCTTTGATCTTTGTTCTGGAAAGTATAAATATCCATTACAGTTATAGAGACACAGATTGCAGAAGATCATTCTGTCATTTATAAAAATGCAGCATGTTCAAGAGGAGATTTATAACGGCACAAACATATGCTTTCCAAAAAGGGTTGCTTAGGTTTTACTTTGGGGGGGATGAGAGTTTTGCCTTATCCCTAGACCTATTATTTTGCTAAAAAATGTGCTGTGTCTATATTCAGAGCTCCTATTCCTACTCACAGGAGGGCTAGCGGTTAGTTTTTGCAGTTGCAATTAGAAAACATAGAACCAACTGTAACCCATTGCACTCCTGACCGGAAGTGCCAATAGTAGGGTGGGTGCGTTTAGCGACAGCAGATGCCTCTGCAGATCAAGTAAATCAAATAAAAGACACTCACACTCCAAAATGATGCCCAGTCAATCTCTTTATTGACTGTGGTAGTGTAACATCTCAACGCAATTAGAAAACAGTCTTGCACATGCACATGTAGCTTTTACAAAGCATCCCTCTATACATTTTGTATTTGTAAGGGGCCTTCAGCTATATCTGAAGAACATAGTGACCCAGGCCATCACAGCTTCTTCAAGTAGACCGTTCACCTCTCCTAACATTTCTGTGTCTTGCCATTAGCCAGCCTGTTAGCTGGTGGCATCACCGAAGCACAATAAAGGTGCTTCAGTGATGCTCTGTACACATGCAATAGATTTTAGATTTCCATGGGAGCAGATCTGAGTTCCTGAAGTCAGGTTGGTAAGGGGGCTTTATCCAAAAGTGGGAGAACTTATTTTTCATCATGGGAGATTAGATTAAAGCAGCCAAATGTTTCAAAGACTATGAATGTGGAATATTAATGAGTATGAGCGGCCAGGTGAGGGAAGGCAACGTGGGCTTCTTAGTCAGGACAACTTGTCAAGGGCAGGTGGCACAGGAGCAAGGATGGTGGACAGAGCCAAGGTGAGTGTAGATGAAAAGAAAGCGGCGGTTGGGTCAGGCAGAAGAGATGGAAAAAGTTGAGGTCAGAGCAGATGACAGAGGTGTGCATACGGTAACCATCCAAGGACAGAAGGAGAGGTCCGATTAGGAACCAAGGAAGCATGGTCAGGAACAAGCCAGGGCAAACCAACAAATATTTCACCAAGGGCTAGGTAGCAGAATAGAAGATAACATGCGATCATCCAGGAACTGTTGAGATGAATCTGATATCTTCTGAGGGCAAATACACCCACATGTACTTTAACAGATTGTGCATGTCTTCTTGACCTGGGCATACATATCTGGTGTACTTGAACCTGCACATGTATGGCCAGCATTGGGCCTTTTGTGAGGTCATGCTATCATTGTAAATAGGAAACAGTCTCCTTTAATTGTATTGTAATCATAAGAACTTCCATTCACAAGGAGTTCTTCACTATATGAGGCTATCGTCAGGTCAAGTATTTATTTAAGAAGTAAAAATTTTGTTACAGCTTGGTGGGAGTTAAAACGAATGCCATACCTTTATAGATTTATGTTTATGTGGTGCTGGTGGGAAGTGAACTCATTAGGTCATAGACTGACATCAGTTCAGCCATTGTTTGCTGTACCTAGGCCATATTGTGGGCTCTTCTTAGGCTTAGTGTCTGCTAGGTCTCCAGGTCGCTGGGGTGCTTCAGTGGTGCCCCGGTTCAGTAGATTTAGGACAAGGAATTTTAACCCATTCCCCTGAACTGTTTAATACAAACTTCTTTTTGCTCCCACGCCAGGTGGTGATCGAAGCAGCATGGGCAGTACAGGAAGCGCCGCCAGTGGTCGAAGTTCTGGGAGCGGTCAGAGTGCTAACAGTGCTAATGCTATACCCGCTAGTGCAGAGGGGGTCAAGGTATATAAAGCGGGACACTGTCCTCCTATCTAAATCTTCCATAAGTGGTACCAGTGGATGGACTAAAAAAGGTTTTAGGAATACCTACTAACAGTGGTCCTGGAAATAATGAAGTTAGGATTGTTTAAATGATATTATTTTTAGTTGGAGATTCGGGGAATAGAAAGTTGTTTGTAAAGGTGGAGCTCAGCTTTTGGTCCATAAATCCCATATATAGTTACGTAATTTTAAAAATGTATTTGTAACTCTTGGGTTGCAATACTACCTTAAGCCCTCGTTCACACGGTTAACGGCCGGCCCGTACAGATCCGTGCTGCATGCACGGCCGTATGGGGCAGCTCCCGGGAAGGACAGGTGCTGCGTGTGATTTGTAGGCAGCAGCCTGTCCTTCTCTATGGGAGTATGCGGCCGTATGCCGCCCTACGCTCACCCGACCTGCACGTCTGTACGGGTGCCCGCAGGGCCGGATTTCCCACAAGGCCAACTAAGGCCCGGCTTTGGGGCAGCAGGGAGTAGAGTGGTGTGGAATTCCTATCTCCCGAAGCCTGGGACATGCAGTGCCGGGCGGGTAGTTGTTTTCTACATTTAGCCCTGCTTTGGGCAAGAAGAGCTAAATGTACTGCGGAGGAAGCTGCCGCTTGTTTTGTACAAGTGATCTCGGTGATGTCGCCGAGATCACTTGTATGCAGCCTACAGGTCTGCCATTCTCCATGGAGGGGGGG